GTTTCCTGTATAGGTATACTTGTGTAGGTGCTTCAAAATGTACCACAGACAAAACAAGTCTGACCTTATCTGAATGATCTTATGTCACATTTCCTCTTTTGTTTGCAATTGCTGGTAAGTGAGCAAATTTAAGATGCTTATCATGTGAATGGGACTGAATTGTTGTGCTTTACTGATAAGTATGTAAATGAAACACAATGCTTAAAGCAACAGGTTTATCAGTTCTAGTCATCTTATAGAGTTGACAATGATCATGCATAACAATCAAATCAGTTTTGAGAACCATGAGGAGATGAAAAATAAAAAATACAATACCTCTTCAGCTTAAAAAAAAATCATTTTGATTCAACTTTTAACCAGGACATGATGACCCTATTCATATTATATCCAGTGTAAAATACAGTGTAACACTGGAAAGGAGAAAAGTACCACTGGACTGGGAATAGAACCCAGGACTCCCACATCACTAGTCAGGGGCTTAACTTACCGAGATTCATAGGCCAGTATCCATGGCCCAAATCTTAATTTAACATTCCCCCCTCCTTAAATTGTCTTCCCCTTCAAAGACACAACCCAAGTTCTTATTTGCCCCTGGCAGGTCTTTCATCTGCAAGTCCAGAGGTGGTCAGTGGCACCAAATCTGTTAGGAAAGGAGAAAATGTATGGCTGATCCGGGAATCGAACTCAGAACCCGCGCCCTGCATCACTAGTTAGATGATTTAATGTACAAAGCTACCAAACCAATATCCACAGTATATTAAACAATCAATAATATTATTATATACCTAATGTGTATCACTAAATTTTACTGTTGATTTTATGCAATCATGTGACGTGACGTGGTGATCCGACTTTCCGGATCACCACACTGTGGTTTTCTGAATCCATATCACCACTCTTTGTTTATGGTATTAATATTATTCCATTGATCTCTAAAGGATAATTTTAATGTATTTAGCCAGTTTTAAGGGGGTATATAATAAATTTATCATTATAACAGTAACTTGATCCGAAGACCCGTATCACGTCTTATTGACAGGCGCAGATCATCAGATCAAACTCGACGCTACGCGTATCGTTAGATCTGATGATCCACGCCTGTCAACTCGACGTGATACGACCCTTCGGATCAAGTTACTGTTATGATAATGTATATTTACTGAATTAAATCAAATAAAAATTCCCTAAAAGTGTTTTTAAGAAATTCTACATTTATTTTAATAAAGTCATATGGTATAAAAATTCAAGCACACAATTTTTATATGGTTCATATAATTCTATTAGCCTAAGAGCATTTAACCTAGCCGAAGTGCATTTTATATTAATGGACTGTATCTTACCAGCTATTTAATAATGAACATCTTGGGACATATGAAGTCATAAAATATGTCCTCTACATTTACGACAATTAGAAACTCTAGACAAATAAACTCGCATATTAAAAATATCTCAAACATAAACAAAGGGAGACTACTTTACAAAGCTAGGTTATCAATGTGAAGGCAAAATTATAAATAAATGAAAGAAATAGAGCAATATAATGAGAGTCAGAAAAGGCACACGCAGTGAAGGGAAGACAGGACAGCTGAATCCTAACTTCTCTTCCTTCATCCTACACGTCACCTTCCTTCTATGTGTTGAAATGCTCAGTAGTTGCCCCCCTTGACATTGATATGCATTCATAATTAATATGCACATACTGTGTTCTTATATACTCCATTTGCAGATGACAAAAATTGGAACAAAGTTTCTTTTTGTTGCTGGTGTGTCTGTCAGTGGAGTCTGTACCATTTTATTTGGGTAAGAGCAATTTTAATTTTCCTAAGAGTAGTACATTACACCTTAGTTTATTTAGTATATGTTATGACCTTCCGTATCAGGGTTCATGTACAAACCCCTTTGGTAATAAGGATATATGAACAATCATTAAGTCTAGTTTTGTAGCCTCAGAGATTGTATTTAACCCTTCCATCTCTCTTTTTTTCAGT